CCCCCCCACCCCAAGATGGCATGCATTCTGTATACCTCTTCTCTTATTTTGCCCTCCCTTCTATCTCTTCCCCCACTTCTCTCATCACCTTCCCCTTCTATTTTCCCGTAGGGCAGGATAGATTTCTATACCACAGAGAGGTTTTTAAAGTTACTGACATCTGTATGAAGGTAATGCAACCATTAGATTCAACTGTCATAGAACAACTAATTAAAAGTATCTGATAGGCTCCATTTATTAAGGTCATCATTAATAATTCAAATATCCTAATATAGCGCTTAATGTGTTGATAGTTACATAAGCAAAATGAACCTCTGGCAGGTGCAATCAAGCTGGAAAGTCTTAGAATATGGACATACTCAAGGATTTTCTTGTCATCAGAGGACAACTCCAACTAAATTCAAAAGGCTTGTCACTTGGAGACAGGCCACTAAGTGATGAATGTTTTAGCTATGGCAACTCAAAACACAGAACAGCTTTGTACAAACTATGCCAGTAGAGGGAATAACCATACTGATAAAATTATAGACCCTGAAGTGTCAACATCAATAATATTTGTAGCTGACTCCTTTTCATCAATGCGATATTATATCTCCCCCCAAAACAAATCAGTTCTCAAAAGCTCTTCAATTCAAGCAAAGGTATAGCTACATTTTAAAAACTAGTAGTTTGACCAAATTCAACAACAATCCCCTTATTTTTACCTGATCTGACAAAAGTTTTATCAATGGGTATAGAAATAGATTAAAGTCTAGATGATGCATTCATCACTTTTCATAAACTGTTATCATTTGACTATTCATAAAAATTCTCCAGAGAATAGTCAAAGATCATCCTGTCTCCCATAATACTTCTGTTTGAAGTTATTACTAATTAGGTTTCTTAGTTGATTTCTATGTAATGAATTCTGTGAATTTTCCAAGTAACTCAGCAAAGGTTATACTTGATTATGATGTCAGAGAGAGCATTTAATTCGAAATCATTCTCCTTATATCTACAACTAAGGGATGATAGGAGATCAGCATGTTAAAGATATTTGCATTAGTCACTTAGATTCCTTATGTAATCTTAACAAATTATTTATTTTAATAATATTGACTCTCTCTCTGTAATGTACTCTGATGCTAAACTATCCAGGAATTAAAGGACAGGTACTCACTCAAAAATATATCATAGCTGATATTACTGAGCTTCACAATTGTTTTAAGAGCCATAGAATTAAAAAAAAAGTTAGATTATTATTACTGTATAACATGATCCTTTTACAATTAAACTTTTAGAATGAGTCACTATATTTATAGAAGCTATTTCATCAGTTTCAATTCTCAACCCCTTGCAATCTGACTCCTAAGCCTACCTTTCGGCTGCAACTGTTCTCACCAATGTCACTGATGATCTCTTAACTGCTAAGTCTAATGGTCTTCTCTCAGTGTTCATTCTGTTTAACCTTTCAACAATTTCTGACTTTGTTGATCAATTACCTACATTTACTGGATACTCTCTTCTCCCTGGCCTTCTGTAATATTGTTCTTTCTTGATTTTTTTCTGACCTTTCTAACCATTATTGATCTGTAAGTGCTAATAAAACTCCAAACCCTGTTCTGGGACCTCTTCTCTCTATATAACCCTTCTTTTAATAATCTTATGAGCTCCCATGGGTTCAGTTATCATCTATATGCAAATGACTTCTAAACCATATATCAATCCTTAATCTTGTCCTAACCTCTAGCCCTATATTACCATTTGTTTCCTAGGAAGCTCTACCTGAAAATCCAGTAGGCATCATTAGAACTCATTATGTCCAAAATATAACATATTCTATATTCCACAAAACCTATCCCCACTCCAAAGATTTTTTTTTTGGTGGTACCAACATCCTCTCAGTTACCTAAGTTCGTATTCATGGAGTCAGGCTTAACTCTTCTTTCTTCTTTCTCCCACCCATACCAATATCCCATCACTTGCAAATTATTATAAATTCTATCTTCACAATGTTCCCATCGGCCCTCACTAACCACCCTATCTTATATTCTCATCACATGTCAATTGGACTAGTCCAGAAGCCTTCTAAACCATCTCCCTGATTTATCTTTCTCCTCTCTTCAACCCATTCATCATATAACTGCCAAACTGATATTGCTAAAATACAGAAAAGACCATGACTCTGCCCTCTTCAAAAATCTTCAGGGGTTCCCTATTGCCTCTAAAATGATGTGCCAAAAACCTCAACTTGGCATCCAAAGTCCTCCAAAACATGGAGAACTATGATCTTATTTCTTATTTCTCTCCATCACAAACTCTCTGTTGTGGTCAACTTGCTGGCTAGTCATTCATCACACAGCATTCTATTTCTTGATTCGTTGCCTTTGAAAAGATTCTTCCTCCTATCTGAAATGTATTTTCTTCCTCACTTTTCCCACTTAAAATACCAAGCTTTTTAAAAGGAAAAGATTAGATGGTACTGCCTACAAAATGCTTTTCTTGACCACGAGGTCTCCATTAGTGCCAGTAATGTTATCTCCCTCTTGCAATCACTTTACATAGGATATATAAGTATATATAAATATATTCAGTATAGATTTCAAGTTCATTGAAAAAAGATGTGCCAAGGCCAGGTATCCTCTAGTGATCCCCCCCACTTTCAAGCTCCCCTTTTGTGTGTTGTCTTCCCCCATTAGAAGGTAAGCTCTTCAAGAGGCAGAGATTATCTTGTGCCCAATGCTAAGCACAGTGCCTGGTGTATAGTAGTATATATAAGTGTATGTCTGTATGTGTGTCTGTGTTTGTATACATATACATTTATTTCTTTGTTTTGTGCATAATGCATTTGTAAAGTGGAAGGGAAATTACTTGAGGTCAGAGATTATTTTGTTGCTGTGTTTTTTTTTCTTGCTTTTTGGTGAGGCAAACAGGGTTAAGTGACTTGCCCAAGGTCATACAGCTAATAAGTGTCAAGTGTCTGAGGTCAGATTTGAACTCAGGTGTTCCTAAATCCAGAGCTGGTACCTCTATCCACTGTGCCATCTAGCTGCCTCAAAAGCTGTATGCCTGTTTTTTTTTGGGGGGGGGTAAGGCAGTTGGGGTTAAGTGACTTGCCCAGGGTCACACAGCTGGTAAGTGTCAAGTGTCTGAGGTCACATTTGAACTCAGGTCCTCCTGACTCCAAGGCTGGAGCTCTATCCACTGTGCCACCTAGCTGTTCAGAGATTATTATTGTTATTTTTGGTAGAAAGGCAAGGGGGTGGCTTTTTATTACTAATATTCCATGCCTTGCCCAGATAACTGACTACAAATGTCTGGTGTCTTGAATTCAATAACTAAATCAGGAAACAAAAAATAATGCCCAAATTCTATGTCTAAGTTTGCTTATGCACCTCCTTATGAAGCCTTCACTGATCTACCCACGAGAAGTGATTTCCCTCTCCTTTGATTTGAACTTCATAACATATTTATCTTAAACTTAGGACCACCACATACTATCTTTTATTCTAGTAATTTGTAAACTTCTCATAGGATCAAAAGATTTAGAATTCAAAAGGTTCTTTTTTAGAAATCCACTCCAACTTCTTTATTTTATATTTAAGCTCCCTTTGTAGATTATAAACTTCTTGAGGTCAAACACTAGAGTATATTTACAATTTATCACTCAAATTTTCAACCTATTACTATACCTCACACATAGGAATTACTCAATAAATAAGTATTAGAGGAATGAACTTTCATTGTCACACATACCAGGGTTTAACGTCACATGATAGAAAAATGAAGTCATTGTTGTTATAAGACAAATTCAGGAATAAGAAAATATACTGGAAGTGATCATTGTGAATGTAATAATCATTACTTTTATCATAGAGAGGGGAGGGATTTAGCATCTGTTTAATGCCTCCTATGTGCCAAGTACTGTGGTAAGCATTTAACAAACATTATTTTATTTTTGTTATAATCATTATTATTAAGGAATAGGAGGTAGGAGAATAGGCGGTAGCTAGCTAAATGGCATAGTGGATAGAGAAACTGACCTGAGTTAGGAACACTTGAGTTCACATGTAGCCTCAAAAACTTACTAACTGATGAGGCTGACTTCTGCCCAGCAACAATGAGAACCTTGTCAAAATCTAAATCTGCCCAGTAACAAGGGAGCTGTATTTGTTGAGAAGAAAACCTTGTTATTTTCTTACATAGAAAATAACTAACCCCTATAATTTGTGCCCATATCCTTGAATGTTGTAAGTTAAGTTCCCTATTTTGTGACACATCCCTGAACTGTTCTGTGAAGTATCCAAAACATCTGCTTCCTCGTTCCTGCCTCCCCTTCCCTGTGGTCCCAACACATCAGCTTCCCCTTCCTGACATCCTTACCTGTGGTTAACTGCCCACAAAAGAGCATACCCCCATCCCTAGCTGAATGCCCAAAACTTGTGTATAAAAGCAAGCTCCCGTCTTTTCTCAAATGGCCAGTCCTTCTTCCAGGGCTAGCCCTCTGCTTTTGCATCAATAAAGCCCTCTTGACTAGGAGAACCTCTGTCCCCTGAATCCTTTCTGGACTAATCAACTCTGAACCTCATCTACCTATACACACACACACACATATAGATATATATATATCTATATCTATATATATCTATATCTATATCTATATATATATATATATATATATATATATATACACATATATATATACACATATATATATAACCATGGGCATGGTCAATTTATTTCTGTCTACCTTAGTTTCCTCATGTGTAAAATGGGGCTAATATAACAGCACTTACCTCCCAGTGTCATCGCAAGGATCAAATGAGATATTTATAAAACCTTTTTTATGTAAATGTAAGCTATTATTGTTAAAAAAAAAAGGGGGGGTTTTTCAGATATAAGTGAATAGCAAGAAAAGAGACACTAATACACAAGTACAGCTTTTCTTTTGATATTGTTAGTCTGGACTAATTTACATTTGTATCGTGATATCAATAAAAACTATTCTTTTAGAGTCATACCTCCCAGGGTAGCTGATAGCAAGAAGTGGGTCCCATATTTCTTGATGAGGTTTTCCGTGATTTGCTGAAGAGTGGGTCGACGTCCCAATAGCCTTATATTACGGAAGAATTCAGGGGCAAGAGGCAGTGGGGAACCAAGGAAATTTCTTCTCTCCACAGCAAGGTTATTTACTTTCCAGCGGCCAAACTCCCTGAAAAGCAAATGTACTTTTATTCATAAACACATATTCTATTCATATGTTTTCATTTGCAAAGTTTACTTGATAGTTAGCCTTGGGTCACTGTATTACAACAATTCTTTCTTGTAGTCCTTTGTCATATGCTCTATCGAGGAGAAGTGACATTTATAATGAATTTAAATACAGCGAATACTGCGTTACCAAAATATGAGGGAATGCTATAGTTTCCATTGATTTACATGATGACATGATACGAGAAGAGGGAAAGTAGTTGTGATGTATGTCATGCACAATATGGTGGCCTCAAAGTCAATAAGTTATCAGTTCCAGTTTTGCTTCTCACTCATACTAGCTATGTGACCATTGAAAAGTTATGAATCACTCTCAGAGCCCCCTGGCAATTCTCTACAGATCCCTTGCTAATCTGCATTGATGGAGTAAGTTTACACACCAATAAAATCATTGGTCCAGATCAAATTAGCAAACAAAACCTTAAGGAATAATCGGGAAATAGGCAGTCATTCTTTGAGAAGCTAAAGAAACTATTCCACTTCCTTATCTATTACATGTACTTCATTTCCCCCTACTTGTCTCAAAATGATATAGAAAAAAATCAACTAACTACATGCTGAAAAATTAAAATTAAAAAAATATTCAATAATTATCTTTCTGGAACTTAGGAGAAGCCTAGACCCTGACAAGAATCTTTACAAAAAGGCAGGATATCTTTTCTTTTCTTAAGAACTCTACAGCATGCAATATGGGACATGAACATGGGGTACATATTCTTTGAAATTCAGTCAAAGATGTTGTCTTTTCTGTGAATACCATGGCCTGTTGCTTTTGCTAACTAGATGTATAATTATGCTAGCTGCTTCAGAACAAGAATATTTTGTACTTTTCTCACTGAATAAATGTACTGACTGCTGTTTATCCCTTTTCTTCTGTGGATTATATACATGAGTATATTATTTCCATTTGGATGCTATAAAGATGATTCAACATCAAATATTCACTTTATAGACTTTCAAAATACTATAATAGTACACACAAATAAATAAAACATCTAGAGAGCATTCATAATTTTTAAATTGTCATGACATGACATGGCTTTAGTACTTAGACAGGTGGACATGTTGATTTAAGGCATACATCCAGGTGGAGATACACAACTATCTCATAGAAACACTGTCACCACCACAGCCCAACAACTCCCCTGAAGGCACAATCAAAAATTTCTCTAAACATGCCAAGACAAATTAGCATTTATTATCCCATCATGTTCTATCCTTACTTTTTCATAAGAATTATACTGGTGTTCTCACATGTACAAGGAATGAAGAATCCAATTTCATAAATGTATTAGTTACTACTGAATACAAAGCACTATACTAGGCATTGGTGATACATAAATAAAACAATACAGATCCTGTCTTTAAGGAGCTTACACAAACAAAAAGATGTGCCAAGTAACTTAGAAATAACATAATAGGTAAAATGCAAAGGATAACTGAAGACAAAAGAGTGTCTTGTCATAGATTATAGAATTCAAAAGCTATAAAGAAACTTCACTATTATACAATCCAACCTGCTTCCTAAAGTAGGAATAGTCTATAAATTCTCTCAAAAAGTAAACAATCTTACAACCACTACTCAAAGATATCTAGAGATGGGGAACTGGCATGATGGAAGAATGGCATCGGAGCTAGGCATTGTAAAAAGGGAAGAATTTTGAGAGGAAATGAGATGGCAAAGAAGAAAGCGATATAGTCTTGCTCCCCAGATAACTACTGAAATGAAGATCTCAGACTAGCGCCAGACTAAGTACTGTTTAAAAATATAAGGAGAAACTATAATGTGTTATCTATCCTATCAAATATCACAAATCTGATACACAGGTCAAAGTGATAAATACAGAAAGTATGGAGCAGGAGAAGCCAGCACCATTGACCCACATTTTGACTGCAGAAAAGGGCAATCATGTTGTTGCTCTAAATTAGGAAAGAAGATTTTGGAGTTACAACGTGGGAGCAAAAGAGGGCCACGGCTATGTTGACAATCCACAATCTTACAGGACCATTAAAGTCCTGGTAAACGTGCACAAACTTAGCCCTAACTCAAAGTCCCAATATGAAAAATGAGACTGGGAGAATTCGTTTTTATTTCAATTAAAAGATTAAAAGCTATTGTGAGACCAGGTATATTACAAGAAACAAACCTAGAAAAGAAGAATAACTGCAGAATACTTATAATCAAGGCCACACACATACACAATAACTTGCACACTAGATTAATTAGAATTTCTAGAATATTAAGAATAATATTATTATATAATGTAATGTATATGGTATGTATGTATAAAATTATATTTTCTAGTATATGTCCTAAGCCCTTTAAAATTATTATCTCCTTTGATCATTACAACAAGGCTTAGAGGGAAGGTGTTGTTATTATATCGATTTTACAGATGAGACAACTAAGCCAAACAAAGGGTATGTGACTTGACAAATGTGATAAAGGCTAATAAGTGTCTGAGGCTGAATTTGAACTCAGATCTAACTGAATCCAGGCCTGGCACTCTATCTATAGAGTCACATAGCTGAAAGAATTTCTAAAAAAAAAATGAATTGAAAAGTTTTATTAAGGAAAAAAAATGAGAATTCCAAAGGAAAGAACTGGAAAATCAATAAAAGCTGTGGGAGAAAGACATGATAATTAAAAGTATAAGTGGTATGAAACCTTATACAAGTTAAACATTATCTGAAAATCAGCACTGACTAAAAAGAAGGTAATCAATCCATGAAAAAAACAACTATTAAAAGTCAAAAGATTGAAAAAAAGTTTTAGAAACTCTAAGGCATATTATATTAGAACTAATTATCTAAAAATGAACCAAGGTGAAGTAATTTAAAAATCATTAAAAACCCTGAAAAAAATCTAAAAGTCATAACCAAAAAAAAAAAAAAAAAAAGGAAAAAGCCTAAATATCATTTCAAAAAAATTTGTTAAAAAATACTGTCCAAACCGATTACAACAAGAGGACAGCTGGCCAAGATGGCAGAATAAAGGCAGGGTTTTGCCCAAGCTCTCCTAAATTCTCTTCCAAACAACTCCAAAGTAAGAATCAACAAATGGATGGGGTGACACTGTTTTCCCCTCCAAGGCAACTTAAAAGGTGAGGAAGAAAGGTTTATTTCACTGGGGTGGGAATGGAACTCAGTCCAGTGCAGGCCTTAGTTAACACAGCAAATCAGTACAATGCCTTGGGGAAAAATAATTGATAGCAGTGGCTTCTGGAGCTCTCAACCTATAGACTATAAGGGGGTCCAAAAATTGGTCAGAAAAAGATTATAGAGAACACTTTCCTGGCACTGGGGGTAGGTCTTGATTGCACTGCCCATGAGGGTTGCAGTCCCTGGAGAGGAAAAGAAATAGTATATAAGATTACGTGGTCCCAGGGGACTCTAGTCACAATAGCAGGACAGAAAAGAGTACTTGTGGTCACTTACAGACCAAAGCACAGAGCAGGAGAGCAGTTATCACATCTCTGCTTCAATCATACCACCTTGGAAGGAATGAATACATACAGACCGCCAAGAAGCCGCTGTGAAAACAGTAGCATGAAAAACATGAAGCTAGGGACAATGCCCCTTACACCCTAGGAGCACAGTCCAACTTTAACATAAAGTTAAAAGTCAAGAAATAGGCTGAGAAAATGAATAAACAACACACACACACAAAAAGAACCTGGCCGTAGAAAGTTACTGTAATGACAGGAAGATCAAAACAAAAATTCAGAAGAAGACAACAAAGTCAAAACACCTACCTCCACAGCCACAAAGATAAATGTATATTGGTCTCAGGCTCAAAAAGAATTCCGGAAAAGGCTCAAAAAAGATTTTGAAAATCAAATGAGAGAAGTAGGGGGAAAGAAATTAGAGTGATACAAGAAAACCATGAAAAAAAATTAACAGCTTCATGAAGGAGGTACACACACACAAAAAAAATACTGAAAAAATAACACAAAACATAGAAGACATTGAATGGTAAAAGAGGCACAAAAATTCATTGAAGAGAAGAACTACTAAATAGAGAATTTGGCTAAATAGAAAAACAAATGTGCAAAAATTTACTGAAGAGGAAAAGAAGAATTGAACAAATGGAAAAAGAGGTACAAAAATTCATTGAAGAAAAGAACTCCTTAAAAAGTAAAATTGACCAAGTGGAAAATGAGGTACAAAAGCTTACCAAAGAAGATAATTCCTTAAAAAATTAGAATTGGATAAGTGGAAACTAAAAACTTCATGAGAAATCAAGAAGCAATTAAATAAAAACAAAAATATGAAAAAACAAATGGAAAAAAATGTGAAATTTCTCTTTGGAAAAACAACCGATGTGGAAAATAGATTGAGGACAGACATTTAAGAATTATTAGATTGCCTAAAAGCCAGGATGAATGAGAAAAAAAAAAAGCCCAGACATCATTTAAAAAAATATCAAAGGAAACTGCCTTCATATCCTACAACCGCAGTGTAAAATAGGAATGAAAAGAATCCATCAATCACCTCCTGAAAGAGATCCCAAAATGAAAACTCCCAGGAATATTATTTAAAACATGATCATATAGATTTAGAAGTAAATTATACCATTCAAAAAGTAATTTCAATCTGTTACAGTTTGAAAAAAAAAGAAAAAGATTGGATATTATTATATTTCTTCTATGATACAAAAACAATTTTGTTTCACAAACCAAAGAGAGTTAAAACAGAGAAAGAAAACCATAGATCAATATGGTTTTGATAAAAAAAAAATAAAATGTAGCAAAGAGGTTATAGGAATATAACACAAAAATTATACTTGGAATCCAGGGTTTGTTTATTATTAGGAAAACTACCAACACAATAGACAATATTAATAGCAAGAACAAAAATTTATATGATTATATCAGTAGACATGAAAAAAATTTAAGAAAAAAACTATTAAAAAAAACCTAGGAAACATGGGGATAAACA